GTATGAGATATATATGTTGGATGTTAAGGAAAATTTCTGTTATATTTTTTCATTGGAAAAACTATTAACATTCTATCTAGAAGTCATAAAATTTACTTTTTGGGTTTAACTCCAGGACTTCTCATTTATAATGTGTCGAGCCTTTCATTGATACTCATGATATTCTATATCAGTTTTAATGTAGTTAAATATGTCGCTGATGAATTAGTTGAGGTTTATACTGGTATATTTTGGGATATTTGTGAAAAAGAGACCCCATATCAATCGCTTTCAATTGGGTAGTAAGTTTCTTGGCTTTTAAGACAATATATCTTCCTTTTTGTAGCTCTTTAGTAATAGTACATCCTCTGTAATGTGCAAGAAGAGCTTCTGAGCAGTTGCAAGAATTCCAATTGTTTCTTTTTTAGGAGTTTCTTCAACTTTCTTCGGTGATTCTAATGCTTTACGTTTTTTTAAATATTGTTGGACAGTTCTCTTAGTTCTAGAGGTTTTGGGTATCTTGGGTTAGTCTTTTTAAGTGTGGGTAGTTGAAAATAACAAATTTGGTGCGTTTAGCAACACATTCCATGCTGCTTCAGAGGATTTTGAATACGGGTGCTATATCAGTTGTAATTTTGAACTACGTAGAGCAGTATCGTCAACATTTTGACAATGACTGGTTTCGTAGCGGAAGATCGTGAACATGGAGCTTTCTAATATTGTATGACAGGTAGAAGATTACTATTTATTTATATTTAGTTGATACAGGTAGCGTCTAGGGGTTTATGGAGATGTTTCTGGCATCAAACCGTTGTAAGTTTTTCAATTGTCAAAAAAACGTTTTATTCTCATCTTATAACAATATAAATGTAGAAAAAAAAACCGAAATTCTCTATATTTCTAATTAAAATACATACGGAATTTGTTTTAATAATATTTCGTGTAGATACTAAGTATAAGTAGTTTGATATAAAAACTGTTATTATTTTGTTAGCATAAAATCTTTATTTATATTGTTTTTTAAATTATACATGATATTTTTGTATTACCATCACAATCGGTAAAAAATTTACTAGAAATATGGCCAATTTATATTATTTGTATTTATTATATTGGTAAAAAATTAAAAAACATGTTTTTAAATTTGTTGTTGTAAAATAAGTTTAATTAAATTGAATTTACATGTATTGTGAAGTTTTATTATTAATACGACAATGAGTTTGATACGTCAAAATTCTTTTCAAGTAAGTATTGGTATTTTTTCACAAAGCTTAACCTTAATTTTAATATGCATTTTCAAAAGACACGATATCTTAAAATTTTATCCAAATTTGTGGGAAAATACTAACTGATGCCTATAGTTTTACAATTTAATGCACTTCTCTTAATTATCTGAAGAAGTCCATTATAGACAAAACATCAGTTGGTGGTGATGATTGTAGGAATTTAAAAGTCTTGTCCATGGGCGTCGGGAGGGGAGGGGAGAAGGGAGGTTGCTTTCTTAATTTTAATTTTGTTACATCCATATACAATTTATTGACAAGGGGGGTAGCCATGTGTGAAAAGTAAAGAAGAGTATGGTGAGTTTTTCTATTTTTTACTATTTTATATATTGTGGGCTCAAAGTCAACACACCTTACACCACATATTCTCCTTTCCACTAGGCGAGCCTGAAGATGAAGTGATGTTACTTCGAAACCGGTCGCACTCAATGTTTTGTTGAATAATTAAACATTGGACTTTCCTTGTGAGATATAAAGGACTTTTTCTCCCCCCTTCACCTTAAAAAAATATACAATTTAGTTGTTGATAAAAGAAACATTTTTTGATTGGCCCCACCTAAAATTCTGCAGCCCATGATCTTGTCTGCACTCGAGTTACATATGTAACATCAGTAAGCCAGTAGAATTATTTTGAAAATTTGTAAATCCTTCCGGACAATGCCATTTCAATAGCAAATTGCATTTTAAATGAAATTAATCCATTAATTAATGACACACCAAATAAGTTTATCGTGCGGAGCGTCAGTCATGAGCGCAGGTATGAATAGGGTACAAAAATAATTAAAGATAAATATTCTTTAGCAAATTATGTTCTATACCCATCAGCTCCGTCAATTTTATACATAACCTCGAAATACACCTCCCTTACGTCTTCGCCATAATCCTACCCCTTTAAAGAAATTGTTAGGCAGCCTGATAATACACTTCTGTGCATTTGTGGTTGCATAGTCTACCAATTCTCGGTTAAGAACATCTAGACGTAATACTAAAATTGTACGATTTAGAATATTCAAATATTAATGAAAGAAACTTTGTTACTTTCGCCAAGCATCAGCAATTTTTATCCATTCTAATAAGACAATGGATTGCCCCTAATTGAATATGTAAACCTTCCACCTTTACGTATATTTCTATTTCTAGTTGACAAATTTGTTCTGACATCTTTTGTATTTAAACGCAAAGCATATTGCAGTTATCTACGAGCAATTCTTCTAGTAGGTAACTATTATTTCTGTAGATGACGCTCTGTGATGTGGAAGCAACCATTTTTTGTCCAATTAGTATTATAGAAACTTGATGGTTATAAACAGACAATAGATGGGGCAGTCAGTGCCGCTATTGAGCCATGATGAACCCTGTGCAAAGCACTACCAAAAACTCTCCCACACATATTGTAATCTATCAAAAATAGGACATAGAACAACTGAAGAATCTCTGATTAAAAATAGGACGATTAAACGAAACATGTTTCGATAAAATGTTACTCGTTTTTGAAATAAAAGATGTGAAAAGTTGAAAATTAAAAAAATATTAAGGACTGACTATATTTTTTACAAACTATAAACATATGTCATTTACCGTAAAAAAGGACTTTTTAAAGCTTTAAAAAGTCACAAGGACATTTTGCTTCGGAAAAGGACAGGTGGCAACCCAAATGTCAACTTTTAACAGTGTTGCCAAACTAATCTAACATGTCAAATGTAATTTGTCAACCTTGCATATGTTAAATGTATTCTAACTTAAGCTAAGCGAAAACCTACTGTCATTTAACCTTAATTAATGAGGCGTGAAACATATGTCAACTGTCAAAAAAGTTGACAAACCTAGGATTCAAGCTTAGACCAGGGTGTATGCCACGAAAAATACATTATTGTCATTCTAACCTAACTAATGGGGCGTAAAACATATGCCAACTGTCAAAAAAGTTGACAAACCTAGGATTCAATTGATAGAAATTGATAGAAATTGATAGAAATTGATAGAAATTGATAGAAATTGATAGAAATTGATAGAAATTGATAGAAATTGATAGAAATTGATAGAAATTGATAGAAATTGATAGAAATTGATAGAAATTGATAGAAATTGATAGAAATTGATGGAAATTGATAGAAATTGATAGAAATTGATAGAAATTGATAGAAATTGATAGAAATTGATAAATATTGATAGAAATTAATAGAAATTGATAGAAATTATTAGAAATTGATAGAAATTGATAGAAATTGATAGAAATTGATAGAAATTGATAGAAATTGATAGAAATCGATAGAAATTGATAGAAATTGATAGAAATTGATAGAAATTGATAGAAATTGATAGAAATTCATAGAAATTGATAGAAATTCATAGAAATTGATAGAAATTATTAGAAATTGATAGAAATTGATAGAAATTGATAGAAATTGATAGAATTTGATAGATATTGATAGAAATTGATAGAAATTGATAGAAATTCATAGAAATTGATAGAAATTCATAGAAATTGATAGAAATTATTAGAAATTGATAGAAATTGATAGAAATTGATAGAAATTGATAGAATTTGATAGATATTGATAGAAATTGATAGAAATTGATAGAAATTGATAGAAATTGATAGAAATTGATAGAAATTGATAGAAATTGATAGAAATTGATAGAAATTGATAGAAATTGATAGAAATAGATAGAAATTGATAGAAATAGATAGAAATAGATAGAAATTGATAGAAATTGATAGAAATTGATAGAAATTGATAGAAATTGATAGAAATTGATAGAAATTGATAGAAATTGATAGAAATTGATAGAAATTCATAGAAATTCATAGAAATTCATAGAAATTCATAAAAATTCATAAACATTCATAAAAATTCATAAATATTCATAAAAATTCATAAAAATGTATAGAAATTCATAGAAATTTTCCAGTATTTTCGTTGGCAATGAAAATACAGAGCGTTCCGCATAAGGCACACTAAAATATGATGCTTTAACGTAATTTACCTCTATACCAAGTTGTACCTCTAAGAAGTTATGGGGGATATACATTTCTAAAAAATTTAACATCTCTGCAACCGGTTAACTTGAAAAAAAATCTATATTTGGTAAATTATTTAGTCGCTTCAGGAGTTTTAATTTAGAGGGGTGGATAAGAATTAATCGAAATATTACGTATATATAAGGGAAGGGGTAGTTTTGGAGTAATCATGATGACAAAAAAAGTTATGTATAGTTAAGGTTAGTTATTCCAGAAGCACTTTTAAAAATATTACAATTAACTGAAGCCACAAGTGGATAAAGGTATCATATAACATTTTTCAAAAAATGATTTGTATATCCTTATATACCTACACAAAAATACTATATTTTTTGTTTGTGGTAATTCTGATTTCCAATTTTGATAAATAACGGCTAATTATCAGATAGGATGGTAGCATGAGCCATATATCATAATGCAATTGTAAAACTTTAAACTTGTTTTTCTCGACATAATATTTTTGTGACGTGATATCTTTATCCGCTCATGTTTTCTTCTTACTCACCCCCAAATTAAGACTACCGAGTATGTATTTTAAGCCTAAAATATGCCAACATTAACTTTTTATTTAGCACTGTATTTGTAATAAAAATTTTTGAAAATTATTTTATGTATGAAGATATTAATTAACTTGCGATAGTTTTTTACCTAGTTTACGTATTTATCTATTACAAAATGGTATCAAAAGAATAAATAAGAAATTAATAAACACTCACCTTTAATTCAAGTCGACGAAAGTCCCATGTTCCCTCCATTGTCTCATCTTTCCCATCGTAGATCCAAAAACCACTTATTTCGCGGCACCCGGTATATTTCCGGACATCTTCTGTTCCCGGCGACGATCTTTTATTCTGACCTCAATACTCAACGTCTCATTCCGTTTCATAACAGGCCTTCAATGTCTCTAGGTTGTTATTAAACTCAAATTTTTTTACTTGATAACCATTATATTTTTTGCATATAAGTTTTTATAGAATAACAATATATATAATGATAAAATATTTATCAAAATATTAAAAAATATATATAATAAGGAATCAACATCTTTTACAAATCATTTTAGACAAGGTAAGTATTTAAAAAATATATATAATTTTTATACAAGAAAAATAGATAAAACTCCTTAAAATAGTGCCTAGTGCTTGCGTTAATAAACTAAAAAAAAATAGAAACATTTCAAAAAATTATATCGTTTATTTATATTAAAAAAAAAACGGTTTTTTTCCAAATAAGTTTATTTGAGTTTAATAAAAATCGTAAAGCCATCGCCGGCCAGTTATTTTGCAGCCTTGTCCATTCGATCAATACAGAATTTACACCTCCAAAAAACTAAATACTGCAGAATCATTTTCCGCTCGTACTTTTTCTACAACAAATAAATTCGAAGGTGCAAACTTCTGACGATCCAACGTCTTTATTGTCAAAAGAAACGATCTCAATTACACCACATCGTCCATGTCGATACAACAGGCAGAAAAATATTTCTGCGCATTTGTCCTATCGGCATCAACGATCTCAACACACATGAGTTGCTTTTCGAAAAAAAAAACTAATTAAAAACCGAGTAAAATTGATGTATATCTAGCAACTCCAACACACTCCTACCCGTTATGTATTTCGGACTGATAGCGATTCGACACACTAATTTAAAAGCACTGAAAAGAAAAAGAAATAACAATTAATAATTAATTAAAATTTGATTGAATAGAAAAATAATTTTGGAATTGGCGTGGTCACCCTCTATATATACAGCACGAATGGCCAACAAGTCTATTGCGATCGACCAATCGATCGCAAAGCCAATTTTGGGACCCTTACAAAACTTCATCCCGAAAAAGGGTAGAATTCTAGAGTTTCGCATGAAAATTATCGCACATCAAATTCGTATGGTTGTTAAAAATACATTTTTAGGGGTGCGTTTCAACCTATGACGCCGGGGTTTTAGAAAACTGAAATTTTCAGTGAATATAGTCGTGAAGTACCTGATTAAATCCCACTTAGTCAGAATGTGGCACAAATCGCTGTTTCCTCATAAAAAAATAATAATCTTTTAGGGGTGCTTTTTAACCTATGACGCCGGGGTTTTAGAAAACCCCTGTGGTAGTAGCACAGCTTATACAATACAGCTAAAACACTCTCTTGGCGGCAACGGTTTGCGTCGATTTCGTCGCGCATCGCTTAAGCTCCGCCTTCGAAGGGAAAAGACGGTTTTGGTGTTCAGAAGCGTACTTAGGTAAGGTGTTGAGTCGTGCGTATAATTTCGTTGATTGTATAATTTCGTGGAGCCTATAATTTTGTTGATTTTGTTTGAGTTAAAGGTACTGTTATTATTTTGGTGACTCTTTAGCTATGAGTAGAATGAGTGAAAAAAAAAAGACATCATTCTGTTTGTGCAGTCAAAAGCTGTTTTAATAAGGGTTATACCTGCAAGAAAACATTCTTTAGTTTTCCCAAGGACCCAAACCGATAAGTACCACATTATAAGAAATTTTCATTGTTAAAAATATAATTTATACAGGGTATCCCATTAGTGCGTTATTGTTCATTATTTTGTTGTAGACACGCAAGAAAGTTTTAAATAAAAGTTATATGGATTTGAAAAATACCTACATATTTTAAAAATATCTTTGGATATACAGGGTGTCACGTTTTTGCCTGGCAAATTAAAATGTATGTTTTTTAAATGGAACACCTTGTATTTTATTTTATGATAAAATTATTAACACCCTAAATTATTGTAAAGACGAATTGATACAGAAAAATTTTATCAGGTATGTGTGTGGTTACCTTTTAATAAAAGCCTTGCGGATCCACTCCTCTGCGATACCTGTCTTAAATATAACAAAGATCACGTTGAATTAGATGATTTTTCTTTTTATTGCTTTTTAAAGGCATATGATAACGCCAATTCAGATACATTTGGAAATCTGCAACTGTCAAATGATGAATTTGTAGAACTAATATTCAATATTGAAAAGATATTTCAAAATAATTTTGAAGAATTGGCTACAAAAAATAACATTTGTACCACACTTTTAGAATTAATTAACCCAATACCCTTTAGTCATCCATGCTAACGTTTTCCAAAAGAATAACTTATTTTATTGTATGTTTAATCTCAATAACTAAAAAATATACTGACAATTAGTTTGACAGAATTGTCATTTATTTAAAATTTTAAAAATAATAGCAGTCGGTTGATCAAAATATGAACGGTGATTGGCGAATTTATTTTTTTTGCAGTGTTCTCACTACCTAGAATGGATATGAAATATATTCGTTCAGTTGAAGGCAATAGCATACTTTTTCGTTTTGTAATCTGTGCATGGATATTAGCCAATCTATGCACATACTACAAAACGAAAAAGTATGTTATTGCGTTCAACTACGAATATATTTCATATCCATTTTAGGTAGTGAGAACACTTTAACAAAATTAAATCTACAAATCACAGGTCATATTTTGGTCACCCAACTCCTATTATTTAAATTTTTTTAAATAAGTGACAATTCTGTTAAACTAATTGTCAATATATATTTTAGTTATTGGTATTAAATATACATTAAAATTTTTGTGTAGACTCGATAAATAATAGCATTTTTGTTTTTATTGTGTTCACATTTAAAAAAAAAAAAATTTTAATCAAACTACATGATACTAATTTAATTACGAGTATTAAAACTAAAGTCCTGAAAGTTTCGGTGAAGATGAGGACAGAGCATCTGCCTTCCACGCGAAAAGCCCGGGATCGAATCTAGGCCGAGGACTAATTAATTTTTCATGTTAATTTTATTTTATAAATTAGTCAACTTCGTAAATTATTTTAAAATTAGTTATTTTGTCTAAGTAACCTAAAATAATTTTTTAAATTTGTAGATTTTCGTTAGTGGGTCGTAGAAAAAATATACTGACCATATCGAGTGGATTGTTCATATCACAATCAGACGATTGAGTACTCCGCATACGACGTCGTGCTCAAACTTCGTCTTTGTGTGATATTGCTATCATATCCACCCTTGTTGAACAAACTATAATTTATTTGTTTTCTTGGTTTAAACCAAAACTTAAGTTTTACATCATAAATAGGAACTAAATTAATTTACTTTTCAAGTTTTCTTATAAAAATCGATATTACTTTCTTCAAGTACAAATTTAGTACCTACCTAAAATAAGTACTAATTATGTAATATCGTGTAATATTGTAATTCAAATTTCACATTACTATAAAGTTTCAAAATTCCCTACTTCGGTATGGTCAGATAAAAATTGAATATATTATATTAATAAAAACTGTCAAAGTATTACTTCTACAAATCTGTATTTCAATTAATAAGAATACATCTAAATATAACCAATATTGTTAAAATAAAAGCACAAATTCTTTATAATTCCAAAATACCATAGAGTTCCCAGACCTCAGTCGAAGCATTCGTTTATCTAGGTATAAACCCTTTGCGCGAAGAGTAACACTTGCCAGAGACACGGGGTACCACTTGATTTGCATCTACGAGCGTGACACAATTCTTTAACAATTGAAGCCCTTGGTGTAAAAAGGATCCAAGCCACAATTTGTCGTGAAGTGACTGTTTTAGCTCAAAACATTTGTTAACGAGGATTTTACTAGCCACATACAAATTATTTTACCTCTAATCCGAAAGATGTGCTATTTTTCGTAATATTTATATTTAAATAATGTTTCTAATTATATTTGACAGATTTAAAACAAATTAAAAATTTAATTTCCCAAAACTTACTTAATATGGCATGTAACCAACCTTATTACGCCAAGGTTTTCAATTTTTTCAATAATAAAAAAATTGTTTAATCCGGGCCCGACTTTTCCCTCGAATCTAACAGAGATAGCACCATTCCGTCTTGCTTGGTTCTCGACCGCCAGATCAAAGACGCCGACACGGAGTTGTGGAGCTGTATATTGTATAAGCTGTGCTATGACGCAGGGGTTTTAGAAAACCCCTGTGGTAGTAGTCTCGAATGTCAAATACTTCGATTCGCATGCAAGATTAGTAAAATGTCGAATAGCATCTCAGTAGCGTAGTGAGGAGGGTGCAAGGGGGGGGGGGCATCATGCCCCGGGCGCTACTCACAAAGGGACGCCAATTAGTCCGCAAAACAAAACTTTTCTATATAATTTTTATTTTTGTTAAAATTAAAATTAAATTTAGTTGCCAGTGTAATATAATAAATATGTTAATTCGTAAATAAAAAGAAAAAAAAGAACACTAATAGTCTAAATCAAACTGTAATAATATATTCATAATTATAAATGACACTTGCATGAGGTATTTAATTATACAAAATGTTCCTCTACGTGGCCATGTTAAAAAACTAGCACTTCAAGATGGTACAAATGTAGGAAACCTATTATCTTTACTTAGACATGTAGCTACTAGTAAATCATCTTAAACATGCCTTAGAAACTCCAAAAACTGTATCATATTTGTCACCACAGATTCCAGTTCGAAATCAACTAATAAAAAATATCAAAAGAAATAAATATTATGGACCTCTGTTTGATTCAACTCCTGATACCTCTCATCGAGAATAAATTCCCAAGTCGTTAGGTATGTAGAGTTTTATTTATTTTATCAATAAAAAAATTTCCATCAACGAATCTTTTTTGGGTTTTATTGAAATACATGTTAAAGATGCAGCCTCGATCGAAAATACAATTTTAGAGAAATTAAATTCCGATGAAATTTCATTGACAAACAATTGTGATAACCATTTATTGAATTCAGTAGGAATTACTGCAGCTAAACAAGATCCAATCGTTGTGACATGTTTTGGAATAATTGACAACATATATCTCTTTTTCTCACGTTCAACGTTACGATGAGAATTATTAAAAAATACTTCAACAAAAACTGTCAAACGTGAATCTATTACACGATGGAGCGCCAGAATACAAGCTGTTAGCGTTA